TGCAAAACCTACGTGTATATACATTGTACATGTATGTTTGTAGCCGTATATACAGGGCTTGAAATACTAGGGCATGAGTACCTTAGTGCAGGTAAAATTGGAGCTGTGCAGGTATTCTTTTATCTCTACCTGCACTTAACCTGCATTGATATACATGATGTATGTGTTTGTGGACTTTCATATGCTGTATACATTTGCTTCATTTACTGTCACCACCTATGAACTGTAAAGTGAATAATGGCAATGGCTTATAAACAGTTTTGCTATAATCCGTACTTACTTGAATTTTGAGTGGTGTAGGTCTTGTGCAGGTAATTTTTAATGTTACAACAGTGCAGGTATGCAGAAAATGACTACATTATTGTTCCTAGAACGTACTTGTACATGATTCATAAAATCGTTGTTTTTAGGTTTGTATATCTTTATAGGTAAGTAACAAAGTGTTTCCCTACATGACTTTCTATTGCTTTGTTTTGGCAAGAGAACATGTGGACTTGGTCCCTCAACACATCAGAGAAGGGACGAAGGAGGAGCAGAGGTCCTGGCTGCACAAGAAGGTAGGGGAGATCGTTGATGCCTGCATCATGAACTCAGACAGCACACACGGGGGACCTGTTTGTTGGTGTGGAAGGGAGCTTTGCAACCAAGGCCAAGAGTACTACACCCCTGCCGCGAGCCTGACTGCACTCGACAGTTCAGGTACCTCAAGGCTAGGCTAACACATGAGAGGATTGACACACATGGGTTAGGAGTTTCCTGATGAGGATGAGTTGTATACAGAAGAGTTAAGTTCCCAGCCAAGTACTCAGCCCCCTCCTTGTGATTACAAGAAAGATCATTCCGAGGCACGGCTGTGTTTTGGAATGTTATTGGAAAACATGAATGATGCGGTCAAGGAGGGGGATGGAGAAAGGTTGGTGCGGTTATACCGTGTGGCTCTTCTGTACTATAAGGCGTATGGGCATACGCAATAAGCGTATAGTACCATCCTTATGCTGGTTCGAACGCTATATTCGCACCACATGAAAGCACATAGCCTGACCTGGATCAGGTTCTTTAATTCCAAGGGTGGTAAGGGGAAGAACATCTCTTGTGACCTCCACCTAGAACATGTCAACAACTTCTTGAGGTCGTCCTTGAAGGGGCTGGGGCCTAACCTCACTGAACAGACAGCAAGCAGGATAAGTAAGTCCCTAGGTATCCTGAAAGGTGTCTTGGGAACAACTCATGAGGAGCTTGGTGTAGAGAAACCATCTGGCTACCACCACAGCGCAAACAAAACTGGGCCGTCTGTACATATAGTCATATTATTCTTTAACTGATGTAATTGTGTGTGTATTTCATGTGTATGTTGTATATGGGCGAGTTATGCCTGAAATAAAGAAAAACCCAAAACACCCACTCCCTTGTTGAAGTACTGAGAGATGCAGAGGTATGTAAGTTCATTGGTGACAGAGAATTCACAGCTTTCCCCAAGTTTAAGAAGAATCTCTTTGTACACTCAAGTACAACAGCATCTGGGAGTGGATGAAGGGGAAGTTGAAGTTTTGGAATAGAAAGTATACTTTTGTACTGTGAATGTTCTCTGTAACTGTTTAATAAAAAATATCTTTATTGTACATTCATGCCCTAATAACTGACCACAATTATGTAAAAATCCACTCCAACACATTTGGGACCGCATTTCCCTGTAATCACGCATAAATGTGTGTAGATTTGTAAATATTGTACATTTGGATGCATACACAGGGGTACCACAGGTGAGTAAACACCTGCAGTCGGACAGAGCACAGGAAAAATCGTACCTCCCCCTTCGTGTTCGGCCTCTGATTCGGCTTATGCCCGGAGTGGGGTTAGGTAGCCGGCTCGCGACATTTTTGGTACTTCTGCAGTACACACTGAGAAAGCAACCTGTCCTAGGTTACCACCTGTCCAACGTGACCGCGACCACCCTGAGTTGAGTCAACTATACCTGTCCATATGATATAATATAATCAAAATGGCCCTTCATATATGGGAGATGTTTCCAGACTCTTCATGAGAGTATTTCAATTTACAGGATAAGTGTCAGATGGCACTCAAAGGGGGTGTCATTGAGTTGACCCAAGCAGGGAAAAAGCAGACCTACAGGAACATGGAGGTGACCATAAGAGGGAAAGACCACAGTCAAGTCTGTAGGAGAAATCAAAGCTTGCTTATCAGGTAAGGTCAACACTTCATAATGATGCTTTGCTGCAGTAAGGACAGTCAGAGAATATGCCTCATCTTTATACAACTAGTTCCAAACTTCCAGATTCAAACTATGAAGCTTCAAGTTAGAGAATGCGTGAAACTTTTAAGGGGTATGTGACTGAGCTGAACAACATTCTAGACAACGAGGAGGTCAGTCGACATATTCTGAGTTATGCCGTAGGTACAATGAAGAAACTGGTCTTGCAATGTAAAGCTGTTGCGTGTGGAGTTTCTCGGCTACGTTCAATGGAACCAAAAGTGAATATATTTCCAAATGAAAAATTGAAGCTACAGCCTATGAAAAAAGCAAAGAAATGCAAGGTGGCAAAAAAGGTTTTATTGGCCCTTCAACTGAAAAGAAGAAGATTTTGGAGACACTACTTGATGTTGAAGGTAATGACGATGATAAAGATGTCATGAATGTCACAGATTCAGAAGAAATAACAAAGACATCAGAAATAATGTCCTGTCCAAGCAACAGAGAAGAGTCAGGCAAAACAACAAGCTGGCATTCCAATTATGGGCACATATCAAGTACCAAGGAGATATCTGGGAGAGTGTACACACGATTGTCACGAAAATATCTGAGACAAAATCATAATATGACATTTACCCCACCTGTATCATCTGTAGATGACCTTGGACAAACGTTATATAAGAATGGACCACATAACATAACCATGGCCCACTTGAAGTCTATAGAGCATGACCTTCCTGTCGAAGAGTTGGTGCCACTAACATCCTATGACCAGCAGTTTGTGACAGGATGGTTATATGATGAAGTCATAAATTCTTTCTTTTATCAGCTGGAAAAACAAAAGGAAGGAATCATGTACTCCCCCAATACGGCAATGTCAGCTCTTGGCAATGGATCATCTGTGAAAGCACTGTGGAAAAATGTTGACATAACAAAGAAGGTGCACACTGGGTGTTGATTGTTGTAGACATTAAGAGAAGCACTATGCTGTACTTAGACCCAATGACAAATACGCCAACAGAAAAAACAATACAAGGGCATCCCCTTGTGTCCCGCATGCTGCTGGAGAAGTTTGGCTTGGAACACCTAAAGTTGGAGGTGCCAAAGAAGACAAATCAGGTGGATAGCAGCAGCTGTGGTATCCTTGTTTGCTTTTATGGAGAACAAAATGTAAGAGGCGATTCCCTCACTTCAGTCTTAGACACCAGACGTTATAGGAAGTTGATAATCCAGAAAATAGTGGATAATGCACAGAGTGTATAAATGGATACTGATAACACCAATTGTACTTGTGACAAACATTGCTTTGGCATCACTAGCTGCTGAGGCAATGCTTGACGTCCCTGTACCTATGCCTGTGGAACTACCCATTCGATCCTTAAGAGAAATCTATCATAGATTATATAGGCTGTAAGACGTGTTTCTCTTGTAAAAAAAAAACAATCATTTAAGAGAGTATGGATACGATGCGATTATAAACCCCTGGTAGATGACTTACAAGTTCTAGCAGAAGGATGCCCTTTCAGAATTAATAGTAATGAGATAGTGATAAAGGGTGCTGTAATTGCTTTATGTGCTGACACAAATGCCTGTTTGGCTGTCGCTGGGTTTAAAGAAGGAGTAGGTTTTGCCAACCTTAAGTGTCGACACTGTGACTGTACTTTCAATGACAAGCAAACCAAATTTTATGAAAATGACTTTGTGCATTTTCCCATCACTGTGCTCCCTGACGTCATAGAGCAGGCCCATCCCGAGGTGAAGAAGGTCACGAGCATCAGAACAATCTGTTCTGCTATGGTGACATCATCACATCGCACTACCTTCTCCCAAACGCACAAACTCCTCAGACTGTACCTGACCATTCCGATCAACTCTGCAACATCCGAGACTGCTGATATACCTCCGCTCCTCCATGACAGAACAGAGACTGAACAACTGCATGCTGCTACATGTCCACAAGGACGTTGTCGACAGTATTGACTTGGGTGCTATCGCGGCAGACTTTGTTGATTTTGAGTTTATTTCAATTGACAATTATCTTACACAGCAATACTGTTCTCTGACTTAGCTTTATTGTCTTTGTTATAAAAAGTACATGATCATGTCAGAGGCTGCACATAGTCAATGAACTTTAAGTTTTAATTTGCACTTCAATTGACAATTATCCGCGAAATTTCAGCTTTTTTTTAAAAAGCTTTCTTGTTTCATCTATTCTTAGACTATGTCGATGTTGAAAAGGGAGATGGAATCGTTCACAAGGGAGACGAGGGGGACGACCTTCGCAAACAGACCTGGGTACGGGATAGCTGCTATTTTTCGACGCTGCCCAACTAACTTCACGAGAGCGGTGATTTCTGCACGACAGCGGACAAGTTTTGAGGTACGTTTTTTACAGGTTATAGTTATCTGAGTGCTTCGAAAATGCATATGCATATGTGAAACAAGTTGAAAACAAATGCTTTCAAAATAAAGAGTGCGACACATGCCCTTTGTGGTCTTTTGGATTTGCGCAGTTCTAGGGCCAGCAATGACGTGACCATTTTGTTTGGACTTCTGGCTGTCTCATATGGTGCAGGCAAGCAATTCGTATCGCTTTTACAGCATCTCGGCCTGTCCGAGTCTTGATGCACATTAATGGGTTTCATGGGTAAAAGACTGGAGAACTTTTGACAACAAGTTTGCAGATAATGGTCCTGTAATGTTTGCCTATGACAATATTAACATCCTCAGAGCTGTCCGACACTTGAGAGTCCTGAAGGGCAAGACACAAATGTGAAATTTCACAGTTCGTATGGCCATCAAGCCAAACTTTGAAGGCATCGAGGAACTGTTTGCATCCAAGGAGACTGCAGAGGTGCCCCAAAAACCTGTTGAAGACCTGATTGCAGACGACATCTTCCTCCAGTCCCATCCAGGTTTGGCACAGGTGTGGGAAGAAGCCCAGGACAAGTACTACCTCAACCTGCTTGATACAGCACTGAACAAACTCCCCAAAGACATCCGGAACCAGACTGACAAGACCACAACACAACAGAAGTCATGGCTGTCCAAACAAGACCTCAAGAACTCAAACACATACACAATTGGACAAAGTCCTGCAACTCCTCCAAACTCTAAAAAAACATTCTTGTGCTGCCACTATCCACAGAAAATGAGGCAACGTTAACAGGCACAGCCTGCATTAATGAAGAATTCGCTAAGGAGTTTCCTATTGAAAGGGCATTACCAAATACCTTCCTTTCGACGAGAATTTCCTTGGCAAGGAAGAGGTACTAATTTAACCAGAGCATCAAGCAGCACCGAGTGGATCAAACTGTCATCCTAAGCAACATTGCAAACGATCCGCGGGCGTCATCTGTGTTTCAGACTTTGGCGCCCATGCTGGAGACCAGCTTGCTGTCCATCCCTTTCTGCCCTGTCAACTGCGGAACAATTGAAAAGAACCGCGTGCAGACAAGGCGGTTTTACCTGGCCACGCAGAAAGGCGGTGGGTATTACATAATTAAGTAGGCTGAACAGGTACTACATTACATTTATCTCCATGACAATTATCATCAACATATCCTGTGGTGACATTTGGCAGTAACTTGCATGAGACTTAACTACTACACCACACATTACACAGAATAGTATAAGTATTTATCAGAAATGATGATAATGATTATGCTGCCATGCATGGCATTGGTGAGAGGGAGAAGCGACCTTGGGGCCAGAACCGGCGACAGGAAAATGTCAACTCGGATTCTTCAGACACAGGCTTCAGCGACAGCGAGTCGGACATGAGTGAGCCTGGGCCTCCTGAGTCAGATGTCGATGATAGCCGAGTTGTATACGATGGAGAGCAGGATGACCTGACACATGTATCTGTGTGTTGTGTCACTTTGGCAAAAGACCTCTGACCTCCAATGAATCTTGAACAAGGAACGGTAATTTGGACACGATTATATAGATCACGATTATGATTTTGACATTTTTGTTTGTATATTTCTGTTCAGTCATTTATATTTGTATCTTTTGTATAATTTTGATTTCCAGTTATACTGATCTCGGTTAACATTTCTGAGTTATGTTACTTGATTGTATAATTTACTTTGATACAAAATTTACTTTTATACAAATTGTTTGCACTCGAATAATTAATTTATTTTCGACTTTTCAGGGAAAACAAGAACGAGTGTATGCTGGCATTTCTGGATATGTTGGTTCACATGGTATTTCGCAAGGTAGGCATGTGTAGAATCATCTAAATTCAAGTGTATAAAACTGTAAACATTACATTGTCTTTGAAATGTTCAACGGCTCGTTAATTTATTTCTACGCAACTATCTATGTACACTTTCAAGGTTGATGGTACTGATGATGGTACTGTGAAAGTTTGGACCTTGTAACTAAATGTGTGTGGGTCTTTCACATACAGCTGTCCTTCCTGATGGCGGGACATACTCACGAAGACATAAGGACGTAGTACGGTTAGAGACAATGGTCAACACTTGCTGATAGAATCCAGGTACATAGAGATGGGGAGGTGACCTGGGAAAAGGCTAGGAACGGGACAACCGCAGTAGACCAACTGTCTAAAGATGAGCTGGTAAAGGACCTGTCCTGGTTGTACATGGAGTAAGAGCTACAGTATGTCGGCTAAGGCTTTGCAGGAGTGTCTGAAGAAAGAACTGCATGGCATCAAACGTCCGCCTGCCTTGCTGTTCAACTGCCCTGGAACAGGGTTAGAAACTCTGCATTTAGACAGGTATGAAGTACTTCCATGTGAGCCTCTGCATGATGTCCGTCACCACATCCAAAACTTGTTTGATGAACTACCACTGCACGTGCCAGCTGACATCTGTCATAAGATCAAACAGATTTATAACAGTCAAATTCAGTCTTACCTTGTTTCCAACGCCATCCTGTCTGACAACCAGCATGCGTACAAACTTCAGCACTCTACAGCGAGTGCTCTGGTACAAATGTCCGGCAGGTGGTTAGAAGAGATAGATAAAGGTAACCTTGTTGGCGCTGTCCTCTGGGACTTTAGTGCCGCTTTTGACGTTGTGAACCATGAAATCTTATTAGCCAAACTAAAAAGTTATGGCTTTATCGATTCTGCAACTAACTGGGTTAAATGCTACCTGGCAAACAGAACACAGGCCGTTTTCGTTAACGGCAGTGTTTCCTATCACCGAGAAATCAAAAGCGGGGTACCCAAAGGTAGTTGTCTGGGCCCTCTACTATTTTGTTTATACACTAACGATCTGCCCACAGTCGTAAAACACAGTTCTGTAGAAATGTACGCTGATGACACTGCCCCATCAGCATCTTGTACTGGACCCATGTCACAGGAACATCTTCCCAGCAATTCTCACTAAGAATGCAGCATTGGACAAGAAATTTGTATCACTCATCAAAAGAAGGACTGTAGGAAACACTACTAGTAAATGTAATATTGCTAATTTGCCAGGACAGGTCTAACATTCCAAGCATAGCTATGAATTCTGAGTTGAAATGCATATTATGATGCACTACTGCTGCTTTAGAGAGTTAAATGTTCTGCGTTTCTTCTTATGTCTTTATTCAGGCATGACAAGATAATTGTTGGAGACAGCAGAGCAGGAAAGGAACCTGTTCAGGTATAAACGGTAAGTCTTGAAATTTCTCTGTTATATTTAGGTCCGTGGTATTTGCAAAAGTATATATATTACAAAAGTCGACCAATTTTATTCACACAATATAACAAAAAAACATCATTTTTTTTTCATATCTCAACTACCTTGTCTTTTTTTCTGCGCAGGACAAACAAGGGAACAAGATATTCAGTTAGTGCTACAAAGTGACAGTAACATCGAAGGGCAGCAGGCATAAGCCGTTTGCCTGGCTATTCTTTGCACTGTAAGAAAGAAGAGTAGGATCAATACTTCGACGGTTATCGTTGTTATTGACTACTTAAACTTGATAGCATGTTTCTATCATCCACAAAATATACGAAGGTCATGTTAGTGATTGTTGTCAAATTTCAAATAAACCATTCTTAATGTCAGGTCAGACACTGGTCCCCACCCACTTCCACCGTGCCCCCCGCTAGACTTGGCGGCTAAGCAGCGCGACGACCCGATCCTGGGACAACTTGTGACTGACAAGGCCCAGAACGTCAAACCCGTGGCCGCCGGCTGGCAGGCCCTAACACGGGACCAACGTGCGCTGTACGGCGACTGGGATAATTTTAGCCTCCTTCGCAGTCTTGTTGGGCGTGGGCGTAATTTTTTCTGTGAGCGACGCGAGTAATATGCCGCCGCGAGGGACGATTTGCTGCCGAGGGACTTTTGCCACGGAGAGAAGGTTTCCGCGCTCCAACAAGACTGCTTCCATTCGGCGAGTTAAAAGGACCTGGGATTAAGCCAGCCTTTCATAGAGGCTATTAACATGTTCGTGCAGGTCCAATTCACATGTTCGCGCAGGTCCAATTCACATGTTCGCGCAAGGGTAATTCACACATACGCGAGGTGTTGGCTGGCACGCGCCAGTCTTTCTTCCGGGAGTTCTGATTTGCATGTCATTATATATTCAGCGTGCAAGTCACGTGATGTTGTGAATCTTCTTACGTGTTTGATCGCTAAAATTAACATTCTTTCTTATTTTTATGTAGAAGAAATTAATTTAAAACGTCGATTTCACCAGCATGTAGCTTCTATATGTCGAATACTGATAAATTGTCGAAAAAAAAACCGACACGGATGAAAGGTCACGTTTGGTCAAAGGTCGCACGGAGCCATATTTCCCGCGCTGGCGAGGCACATGTTTTGTTTCTCGCGGATCCCGGGAATCGAATCGTGTCTCCCTACGATCTCACATGGATGAGCGGGGTGAAAGAATCCACCGAAGGTGCGTATGATGTTTTGTTTCCCCAATTACGAATTTTTTGTTTCCATAATACTCTGCTTTTCACTGACAGCGCGCAGGGTAAGAATGTTTTCATACAGCCCCCCTCCCCACATCTCCCCACATAAGTACGTAAGATAATTTCATTTCGGGGTCTAACGAAATAATAGACATTAAATAACAGCAAAAATGATACATGGTAACAAAAACTGCGTGGAAATACGTCTTAATGTTTAGGATTTCGAGTCACATACGTGCTTTTTTTCTAAGTTTAGGTGTAAAGAACGGGGAGGCGTGCGAAAATGTGTTTCTACAAGGTTTCTAGTAAATAGCAGATTGCTGCCGGCAGTGCAGTGGGCTCTGCATAATTTACCTTTTTGTTATTTTTGCAAAACAATTTGGTCTTGAAACAGTGTCTCTAGTCAGCGAAACCAGTTTTTACCAAATGCTTTTAACATAGCTGTTTATATATTAACAAGTATACATATATTCACTCATATTTACCATTAACGTTACTGTAGACTTTATTGAATTTGAGACATTTTCATTGGAGTGTTCAATCTGTAACTGACGTGCACTCCTTTTAACATACCTTCATGAGCAAACATTCACCTAATGCAAAGTACTAGTAGTATATGTATGTATTTGTATCAAATATACCATATTGAAAATAAATTCATGTTTTCTTACATCACAGGCTTCATCAGACCTTGTACCCCGAAAAACATGGCAGGGTCAGCCTTCAAACGGCATTAAGCATCTTGAGAGACTTCGGGGTTACTGAACAAAGTGTTGGAAAGTATCTCCGTCAGGTCTTTGATGTCCGCATAAAATATGGAAGAGGACCTGCTTCCGAGACATACTTTGAGGGTGTTTCGCTGTCACAATTGCCGAGCTCACAGTTCCAGCCCTTCCAGCCCTTCCAGCCAGGCACACAGCCGAGCTCACAGGTCCAGCCCTTCCAGCCAGGCACACCGCAGCTGAGCTCACAGGTCCAGCCCTTCCAGCCAGGCACACCGCAGCTGAGCTCACAGGTCCAGCCCTTCCAGCCCTTCCAGCCAGGCACACCGCAGCCGAGCTCACAGGTCCAGCCCTTCCAGCCAGGCACACCGCAGCCGAGCTCACAGGTCCAGCCCTTCCAGCCAGGCACACCGCAGCCGAGTTCACAGGTCCAGCCCTTCCAGCCAGGCACACCGCAGCTGAGCTCACAGGTCCAGCCCTTCCAGCCCTTCCAGCTAGGCACACAACTGCCATGCACACCTGCAGCATACATGTGTCTTGTACAGTCGAACATGGAGCTGCAAGAACAGATTCGCAGACTGGAAGAGGAGAAGAAGGCTTTAAACCAGCACTTACAGCAAGTCAACAGGCTGAACCAGTGTGCCATGTGGGACCAGGTTGACACAGGACAGGTAGACAAGGAACTTTCCTTAATATCCAGCAGTAAAAGTCCACTCAGTGGAACCATCCGAACACTGGAGGATATTCGCAGCTTGACGATTGAAGGGGTCGGAGTGTATATCACAAAAAATGCCCCACGACTTTACCACGTGATACAGTCTCTTATGAACAGCGTGTATCAAGAGGATGATGGATTTTCTTCAATCATGGTGATATCCTCTATCACCCATGCACGCAACCGGAAGTCCAGCGTTCTACAGACGATCATCTCCCTGTATCTTCTGCTGTCTGCGAGTCAACACGAGGTACATATATCAAATGGTTTTCTTTCTTGTATAGTGTTTGCATGAATACTATAGTACTATCATTTTGACACAACGATGCTATATCATTTATTGAAGCACGTAGGTTGAATTTTGTAAACACTTCTTAGGGAAATTATCAATATCAATATTCAGTGATAAATGATACTGCACTTTCTGATGTTTGTTGTGTTAGTATAGATTATTGATTTGGTTGTCATTTATACTATAATTAAAAGAACTGAAAACTTTTCCAATCAAGAATGGATATAGTCACACTACTCAACTACATTCTTCTGAAAAGCTTTAATTTCTAATGTATTTGCAGGTCATTCAAATGTTGAACCACACGCACCAGTGTGCATCGTTCCAAACTGCATGGCGTGCTATCGAGCAATTTGCTGACAGCAGGGCTGAAGACTCTCCACTGCCAAACACAACAGAGGTTTGGGCGTACGACAACCTGAACATAATGAAGAGAGTCCGGCATGTCAGAAAGGGTATGTTAAGAATAATATGTGGTAGTGAAGAGGTCTTTGTCACCAGAGGTAGTCAAAAATGCTAAACATGTCATTGAAAATTGATGAATACTTCATTACTTGTTTGGGCAATGTTGCTTAGTGCTTAACATGCTTCAAGTAATTTTTGCCATCAACCTCATCTTGAACATACTAGTATGTGTTTGGTTGGTGGATAGCCACTCATCAGTAATGCATGTTGTGTGGTCAATGGTTACATTTATGTGGCTATGTTAAGGTAAATGCCATTTGGTATAATGGATAGTAAATAGGAGTAACACTTTTTAACATACACTCCTATCTTCAGAGCACCACGCCCAAATGATAAACTGGACGACAAGACTCGTCATCCCAGTGCGACATCTGCCTGCCGACAACCTGGGAAAAGAACCACAGGTATGGACACTGACAGCACTCAATGAACGACCATCTATCCAGTCAATACCTTCTGAATTTATAGCTATCCATTCATGTAAACAGTTGCTGGTTGCTAATGGTATGACAAAATGAATTTTATTTCTTCGTGCAGGGGATGCGACAGAATTTGACGACATCAGACATCCTACCCACAGTGGAGGATGTCACACATCTGAAGGCACGGCTTGTTGATCGGACAGTGAGGCTACTGGTTGAAAAGTTTAAGGCTTTTCACCAGTTCAGCGACAACATCCGTCCATCCAATCAACATGTGAAACGCTCTACATACATGCCTTTGAAGGTCCTGGACAAGGACGAAGCAAAAATATCTGACAACATTCAGATTTTGCTTCAGTTTGCCAAGGACCGTGGTCTCCAGGACATTTGCAAGGATCAGGTGTGATGATTCGTATGTGATGATATACTAGTGCACATTCATACATGTATTCATACATGGTTGTGTTCACAATGGTGTCTTCAGTGCTAAAGAAGAGTTCTGTATACATGTAGGCGTTACAAAAATTACGTGATTTTTCAATGTGTCTTTGGAATATCTATCTGTCCATGACAATTCAAGTTAGGTTTCAATATGTCCAGATCCAGGTAGTGTTTGGAGATCAAGCGACATGTCGAAACCTTCGAGGCGCGAAAAGGTTTAGACAGACCGAAGATGATCATCTGCAGAGTCTCCAGTGGGCAAAAGAGACACCAGGTAAATAAGACTGTTCCTGTATTAGGTCTCCCATTCTATGATTTTTTTTTATTTCAAAATTGGTGTGTACTTGTCTCTAATTACTACAAAGACTATGTTGAAACTTAGTGTCATCTTTTCCTTTTTACCTTCAGGGGACTTTCACTTCCTGTGGGAGGCCGGCAGAACAATTCTGCTGGCCTTCTGGTCATCACCCCGTAATGTCGGGAGTGTGGGTCATCTGCGGGACCTGGTCGACAGAAGGACTGTGGATTCCAGGGGCAAGAACTTCAATGCGGTGGATGAGCTGCTGCACCACATTGAAGAGGCCCACCTGACAGCAGCTCTTATGAAGCATCTCAACATGGAGACCCCAGGTATTTTTGTTTATCCAATTTGTTTGAATTGTTAATCCCTGCACTGTTACATTTCATTTATATTTTCTTGTACATGTATTTGTATTGTTACATTTTGTTTTAAAGTGCGAAATAAACTGAAACTGAAGGTACATGTAGCATAAAATCTAATCAACAATTTTAATTGTATAACACATTACTTTTATTGTCAGAACATTGCCTACACACTTCTGTATTACTTCTGTATATACATTCTACCTTTTTAAACAATGCATAACAAGAAGTCATGTCTGTTTCAGGTGATGACTTCCATGTTCCACAGTTCGACCAACTGAAGGACCTGGCGAAGGACTTTGTGGAAAACCTGGCCACAAGACCCATCTCACAGCAGGTGGACGATGAGCTGTACAAGTTTAACCACAGACTGCTGTACCACCTCCTGTTGTACACAGACCTGAGACAGTGCATCAGGTAATGTTTTTTATCTGGATAGGTCACTTTATAAATCCATAAATTACACCGAAAGGCGGTTATACCGGCTATACAGATACAGATACATAAATGTATTGATAATGCTAGTTGCAAAACTATCTGTCCAAAAATGCAAGTATGGATTCTACAGTACAGTCTAGAACGACTCTTGTCTTCGGGGAAATTCTACTTAAGATCACAGACATATTTGATGATGAGATGTTTTACACAATGATGCTAATAAGATACTGTATGAGCATGTGATTAACTATCATAGAATCCATAGAATGATATTTACAAAATAGTTACAGACATATTTACAGGAGATAAATACAATACTTCTTGTTCCACATCTTGCAACAACTTCCAGAAAATGAATTAGATTGGCAAGTCTTTGCCATTTGCACATCCCAGTACAAGTTTAAGTGGTAGGAATGTCTGTTTAGAAAGAGTGCATTTCCAAATGCTACAAATTCTAATGCATTTCAATGCTGTTTTTAATGGAGACATTTTGTGTTTTGTCAGAAATGAGAATGGGCCAGCCATTGTGGAACACTGGAAGTTGTGGTTTCCACTCTTCCTAGGAACAGGAAGAGGGAACTACAGCTACGAGTGTGTAAACCTCATAGCCAACCTTCAGGCTGACTGGTCAGAGAGGACAGCATATGTAGCAACTGCAAACCGGACTGTCAACCTGCATGGCAAGTCGGGCCACGGAAAGCCAGTCGACATGCTGGTGGAGCATTACAACAGGTGACCTTGAACAACATTTTTCCAATACATGTACTTAAAAAAATGACAAGTTATTGCCAGGAAATGTTTTAGTTCTTAATTTTGAAGTGAAATTATACTTTTGTCTAGAAGTTTGTCAATTGAAGTTCTGGTTATAAGAATGTAACGTTAACATTTTTACAGGCAGCTGAAATCAATCTTGCGGGGCTCGGGACCAGGTCTGACAATCCAACATGCCGAGCGTGTGTCCCTGGCGATCCCTCTACTGGAAGAGGCAAGGCGCTTCTGTGTCAGAACATTCAAGACTAGTAGAACAACAAGCCATACTATTAGATGTGCAGTGTCAGATGTGGAAAAGATGGTTGATGCAATATGCAATGAGAAGGTATATACACCCAATGAGGGCAGGCGTATTTCATTAGGAAATAAGTACAAAGACCCCATTCAGCAGGCATTTGTAAAGATTAATGACAACAATTGGTTGGCAACAGCACTGAAGAAGGGGACAAGGGCATGGGTCCCAGAAGTTGACTTAGAGGAAGTAGATACAGACAATTTGATGGACGAGTAAAAGTACAAATCTACAACTGTAGATTTCAGTCACTATGGAGGCCAAGCTTATTGTCTTAGCAGTGTCTACTAGTTTGTATGTATGTTATTTATTACATAGGATGACCTAGACATGATTTGTAATCTCCTGTAGTGGGTTTCTCTGCTGTCTTTTGCTCCTTCTCAAGGTTTCTGGTGGGTTTCCCTGGGTTGTTCTTACTGGTGGGATTCTCTCTCTCCTTGGTGGGTTTCCCTGTCTCCTTGGTGGGTTTCCCTGTCTCCTTGGTGGGTTTCCCTGTCTCCTTGGTGGGTTTCCCTGTCTCCTTGGTGGGTTTCTCTGGTTACTCTTTTCAGGGAAGAATTCATCGATTGCAGCCAAGATGCTGTCCACCATGGTACTTGAGACCCCCTTGACAGACTTCACATCTTCCTTGGTGTGGAGCCTGTGACAGTATTTCAGCAGTCTGTCTATAGTTTCATCTGTCATAACTGCACAGGGTCCAAAAAAACAAAACTGAGGCTGCAGATTGAACTCCTGGTCACGCAGTTGTTGTAGCTTTTGCTTTAACTGTCCACCATTGTCTGTTTTTTCCCTGTGTGGTCTAGGCTTCTTTCTTGCTTTAGGAGCTGGTGGTAGTCGCTCAGAGAGTAGACAGCTTGCATCTTGGGTCAGGCCTCCGCAGTTACTACAGCACTGGTCCTGCTGTGGCATGTCACTTTGCCCAAGGTGTTTCAGCAGTGCCTTACGGAGACAGCCCTCCTCAGTCAGTATTGACGCCACTTCTGGTTTCGCCTTCTCGTGTTCTTTTGTGGTGTGGTACACAAGGTACGCAGCCTCCACCTCAGAACTTCTTCCAGCACGTCCCATTTGCTGAAACACAAATTGGAATGCAACATGACCTTCCTTACATGGCAAAGAGGGAGTGATTGTAAAACATGTATTGCTTAAGGGTGATCATGAACTGTTGACAAACTTTGTGAATGGGGAAGTTCGATGTTCCATAGCAAAGGTGAAAATTGAAGAAAAAATGTGTAATCTATAACACTTTCCCAAAAATTCGGTTTAATATCTTATTCTGCCATTTTAGTATTATCATCCCTCATTTTAACTCTTCTTAATATTAGGTTATTGTTTGAGACAGATTCCCGACTAACCTGGTATAGTTGGCTTACTGATGCTGGTGCTCCATATGAGATGACACAGGAAACATCAGGAATGTCGATGCCCTGTTGAACAAAATAGATATCAATATTGTGTATAAAGTACCATCTGGACAGAAGTAGTGTTTGGCCATAGACATGCCATCACTATATGTCCTTCAATATAACACAACAGGGCAAATATTAAACTTCAAGTCTTAGCAAGGATGCAGTGATTAGTTTCTCACAATCCTTGTCACCATTATTTTTATTTGATTACCATTGTGTGACAGAATCAAACTACATATAGATGACAGATGTAGCTTTTTTTACCATGCCGAATGCTACTGTGGCGATGACTACTCTTACATCCCCAGCCTGCAATCCTTCCAGGACTTTTTTCTTCTTGGCTGGGGACAGGTCTGCATGGAACACCTCCACCAGGCCACGACCTTGAACAGCATCCTGAAGTAATTCGAACATGGCCATACACTTCTGTTTGGTGGGGAGGTAAATCAGGTGTTTCTTTGTGTCCCTCCCTGAGGCCTGTAAGTCTTCCACAAGTGGTTGGAAGTCGGACTGAAATGTAGAAGATAACATGAAAGAATGTCTATATTGATGAAGCATTGTCATACATGTACAGGTGTTGTCTGTGTGATATTTCCATTAAAAATTCATGCTGATGAGGAATTGCAAAGGGAACTATACTTGTGTATACACTTGACTGTTAACTTTTATACTATTTCAGTATATTCATTTTTTTAAAGTAGAGGACAATGTATAATATGCACCGTCATTGATGTTGATTGTATCCTGGAAATGGTGATGTTCTCCCTGTTAAGGTCGCCCATCACCACTTCACCAGTCAGGTGCAGCTCGGTCTGCACAGCTGACCTCACAGCTTCTGTTGCGGTCGCTGTGAGTGCCATAAATGGCACATCTGGTATGACTGCCCGCAACGTCCCAATCATCCTGAAAGCCCTCCTGAAGTCTTCCCCCCTGTGTGAAGTAATGAGAGTAATATACTATGTCATTGTATTGTATTGTATTGTATTGTATTGTATTGTATTGTATTGTACTGTACTGGAAATATTGAAAATGGTTTACATAGCCTTTTTAATATTCATAGTGTGCCATGGAAGTGTGGAACAGTGTTTGTGATATGATGTAAAAAGATGTGATATGAGATGGCATGTGTTGAAAGTCAAAGATTGTACTGTTGAGTTATGGATGCATACTTTAGAATAATAGTCACTCATCATGTACCGGTTTCTTAATCAAGCAGCATCATTTGCATGATGCTATTTTTTAGAAGATTGTGCTGTACCTTTGTCTTATTATGATGTGTTATCAGTATATTACTGCCGGTAGTAGGAAATTTCAGCCAAAACAGTAACAATGTAATACTGCATCTTACATACCATTCAGGGATACAATGAGCCTCATCTATGGCAACCAATCCAAGTTTGATGGGGGTGTTGGCAATGAACTGCCTTCCTGCTGTGGAGGTTGCATCCTCAGGTGCCATGAAAACTGAAGTATACAGAAATGTATTAGACAAAGTTATCCACAAGTGTGCAACTTGATTTCAAATGTGCATCATTGTAAGTATATGGGGTTAAGTACAACACTGAAATCATACTGAAATCATACTCAAAGAAATGAGTGGTAGGTACAAACATTGGTAGGTATATGATAGTAGGTATATGATCAGCATAGGATATATTCATGCATTCACATACAAGTATTACATTTTGAACACTCTTTGCTCTATGTGACCAAGGAGGTTTCCTTACCTCCTTCATGGGATTCATGTCACAGTATCATGACAAATAATATATGCAAAAAATTAGAAAAGAAAATATTACCTAATCTTGTGCCAGGGTCAGGGTTCTCACGGAATGCTGCAATGGCATCGCTGCCGCTAAGACTCACTGCTCTGTAGCCTGTTTTGATGTTATACCGGCGTACCTGGCCGAAGGATATCAGAAAAAAAGCTGATTATGATATTACCATTATTTAAACTTTTGGAGCACAATCGCTGTTCAAATCTATAGAAATGGGTGCAAATTATAAAGGTAGTATAAATAAGTTACATGGACTGTGTAAGTTATACAGGTCTTTATTGACACAAAAAAGTACAGCTATTTTCGTAAGGTCTTGCACTAAAGACTGATCGTGTAATTTGTAGAACAGTCGGGTTGACAAAGGGGAGGGGGGCGTTTACTTTTCAAACTCGCAGACGTAAAAAAGACATCCGCTTTTAAGTTTTATGAAACGTACTAAAAATACAAAAGAATACTATGTTACCTGGTCTGCTACAAGAGCTTGTAGTGGCGAGATGACCACTACCATCGTCGGCTCCTTGGCGAGGGATGGAAGTATCTGGTAGCAAATACTCTTCCCATGGCCCGTGGCAAGGCCGACAAAACAATCCTTGCCTTCCGTGACAGCTTTAATAGCCCGGGCCTGACCATCCTTCAGCCGAGGAACCCCCAGATGTCGCGCGCTACGCGCTCTGCCCTTGACAGTACGTCAGACATCGGAAACGGACGGAAAGTAAGTTGTAACGTTTTCTATTTTTTTGAACTGGCTGACCCCGATGACCGTTAGGAAATGATCGGGTCAGTGAACACGGGGGCGGGACAACTCGCTGCCGGGAGGTGCGTACGGTTTATTGGCGGTCCGCGGGACCCTGGAAATTCACACGTCTATGCCAATCGCCCCTAAGTGTTTTTTAATAGCCCTTTTAACTCGCCGAATGGAAGCAGTCTTGTTGGAGCGCGGAAACCTTCTCTCCGTGGCAAAAGTCCCTCGGCAGCAAATCGTCCCTCGCGGCGGCATATTACTCGCGTCGCTCACAGAAAAAATTACGCCCACGCCCAACAAGACTGCGAAGGAGGCTAGGATAATTTAGTCTTTCGCGACGGCGTCCTATACCGCCGGATTATTCGTCCCCACAACCCAGTGCCAGATCCCCGCTTGCAACTGTTAGTCCCCCGGGCCCTTGTCCCCACTGTTCTTAGAATGGCCCACTCTGATCCCCTTGGCGGCCATTTGGGGATAGACAAGGCGGTAGAAAGGGTCAAGTTTTCCTTTTACTGGCCGGGACTGTCAAATGATGTTACGGCCTTCGTGGCGGGTTGCCTGATGTGCCAACGGACGAAGGGGGGACAACGTCACCCCCGAGCTCCCCTATGCCCTAGTGTAACAGGCTACCCAAATGAGAGGGTAGCTTTGGATATCGTTGGCCCCCTGACAAAGACCGTGAGTGGTCACAAGTACATTCTTGTGGCCACAGACTATTTCACTAAGTATGTAGACATTTTCCCACTAGAAAACGAAACAGCGGAGTCAGTAGCTGCCAAGTTCTATGAAGGGTGGGTGTGCCGACATGGCCCCCCAGCGTCCCTACACACCGACCAAGGAAAAAATTTCGATTCATCCCTGATCAAACATCTGTGCACATACCTCAAAATTACAAAAACCCGAACGACACCCTACCACCCCCAGTCTGATGGCCTAGTAGAAATGTTTAATCGTACGATGGGCAACATTCTCAGGGCGTACGTCGCTGCCCATCAGCGGGACTGGGATGTCCACCTTCCCGCCGTACATTTTGCTTACAATACGAGTTGCCATGCCACCACTGGGTGCTCCCCATTTTTCATGATGCACGGGCGCGAAGCCCGGCTGCCGTTACATCTCCTAACAGGTGTCCCCAACGTATGCCAGGTGATTACCGATTGTCTTTCGGATAGGTCGGGTCCCCGGGGGGAATCGCTCGAGGTGGACCCCTCGCCCCCTTCCTTGACGCCAGTAGCTAACGAATCCTCCGAAAAAGGTGGTGTTGTTCGAATTAACCCCTTGTTTTCCTTTTTGTCACGTCCAAATTTGGAACGGGAAACCTCTGCCACCCCCAGGTCGGTTCTATGTGAGCCTAGTGGTCTCTGCCGGTTCGCTTCCCACGGGGGAGCGCGGGCGACTAGCACTCTTCCCGTCGGGGGCGACTAGCACTCTTCCCGTCGGGGCCACTACTCTTTCAAGTAATTGAGCATAGGGTAAGTTTCTCGTCTCTCTGACGTGTACCGCAGCATCACGCTGCCAGTCTCTTTCACTTGGGGTTCCCATAACTCACCATTTCCATCGACGGACCTCCGTACAAATGTACTACGATTGAAAAGTTTCCCCTTCTCATTTCATTTTAATGTGTACTTTGTCTAAGATGCGGGAATTTTTCCCCCTTTTGATGACATCGGGTGATTCAGCACGGTAGTATTCGTAGCCTGTTTTCCGGCCAACTTCCCAGGGAGTTAGGTAGTGGGGTTGCCTCGTTCTTCTCGTTGGGTCCCGTTGTCCCTTCCGAACGTTGGGCGCTCCTAGTCCCCTCCCCTTCCTGCAGTCATGGACCCACCGCAAAACACGGTGGGCTCCCGAGCAAAAACGCTCTAACTGGCTCGACCGAGTTAGAAATGGTCTGTCTGCGCTAAATATGTTACACTATGTTTTCAAGGAGGGAAGAACACGAAGGACACAAGAAGGCAAGCAAGCCATTATGTAGGGAACTACATCGCCGACACGTGCAGTAATGCCCTGCATAAGGCACGGAAGCGCCACCCTGACAACGACCAAGCCTTATTTGAGAAACTCAAGCAGCTCCGCTCTAGTGGACTGCCTTGCTGGGGAACACTCGTCAACATCAGCATATAGAAAGAAATACAGACTGTAGATTAGTTGAGATCTGAACTTGGAAAATGAACTAAATGTGCCTATAATGTGACTGTGTTGTACATGTACATGTTTGTAACGTTTTTGTATATTGTTGGGTTCGATTTGTAATTTGTATGAATGTATGTTATAATGTATGTGCCCAGCCTCGGGATACCTGAAAAGCAGATCAATGGATCTGAAGTATTCCCTGGTAAAATAAATAAACTTGAAACTCGCGCTGCACTTCGGATTTTGCATGCCCGGCAAACAGCCCAGATGACCGGCCTACCCGTGACGCTTTGCAGGGCCTCATTGACTATCGTCTCGCCGAGAACGCCGTTTACCGACAAAGGAAGTTAAGGACGACCAACAAATGCGAGTCATTTCACATCAGGGTCCTAAAAGCAGCTCCGAAAGCGATGAACTTTGAACTAAACTACACAGGACGTGTGCACACCGCAGGTTTGGCGGACTTGGTCGGGTCTTGTGCCGCTATCCACCGTGTAAACCAGTATATGGGCGCGAGCCATTCCCCTGGCAGTCCCAGACAAGCTGCATTTGAAGCAATTGGCAAGGAAGAGGACTATCAAAGGATGAGAAAAAGCATTGGCTATCGCATGCGACGATGCAAACTCCGCATAGCAAAAAAAAAACAAAGGATGCGAATGGTCAGGAACACAGCACTGATCCAATGCATTCTTGTGAAAGGAATGACCATTCTTATGCCAAATGAGGGAGAAACGAACGAACAAACGAACGAGCGAGTGAACGAACAAACGAACGAGCGAGTGAACGAACAAACGAGCGAAAGAACTGTTATCTACATGGAAGATAGATAGATAGGCAACATTCTGACGAACATTGAATCGGACACACTGGGTAGAAGCTGTACACTGCTGTCCATCTCCTCCTGAGCCCTGCCATGGTTGACTGCCTCTTTGTCGGTGGTTCACCCTGGTCACACCCAGGACCACTAACATGCAGCCTGCGCGAACGCGGTTAACCTCTTCACTGGACGTTTGAGTCAGCACCACCAGTCTCTACCAAACTTCTTTTGCGGGGTGAATAAATAGTAGAAATCGGCCTAAAAGGGGTATAAATTGGCCAGAGAAGATAGCCGGCCAGAGAAGCTCCATTGCCCCGCCAAATCTTCTCTGGGCAATTAATACCCTTTTTAGGCCGATTTCTACGATTTCTTCACCCAGCAAAAGAAGTCTGGTGGAGACTACAGCCACCCTACGTGATGGACTAGTTACCATGTGTACACCTCTCCGCCTGTTGGATGGTCCCTCAGCCATCGTTCGTTGTGATCCAGCTCCAGGATTCCAGGCCCTGGTCCAAGACTCCTGGCTTGCCGACAACCATATCCAGGTAGACCTTGGACAACACAAGAACGTAAACAAGAACCCTGTAGCTGAGCGTGCTATTGAGAAGGTGAGAGAAGAGCTTCGAAAAGCAGACCCTCTTGGCCAACCAGTTTCAGCTCAACGACAACTGGCTGTAATCATTGCTCAGCTTAACGCTAACGTCCGCTCCAATGGTCTTTCCTCACGAGAGTTCCTTTTCCAAAGAGACCAGTTCTGTGGAAAACAGATACCGATATCTGATAAGCTCCTGCTGGAGGACCAAAACAGGCGACGAGTAGACAACCATACACCGAGTGCTAGATCCAAAGTGCCCACCACAAAGGCCAAAGTCACCCCCTCCATCTCGGTAGGAGATTTAGTGTACCTCCACGCTGACAGAAGCAAATCTCAGGCTCGTCACAAGTATATCATAACTGCAGTTCACAAAGACTTTGTTTATGTATCAAAGTTCAGATATAACGGTTATAAGTTCGGATATACTAATACAGATGCAGATAAATACGGCTACAAGATGATGCACGTTCTTTTTTTTTACCGCATGTGTTTTCACAAAGAATCCATAAAATTCTTGTGCTATATTCTAATTTTTTCATTTAATAGTTGAAATGTATTGAGTATTTTTATAAACATGCATCAAACTGTAAGGTGTAATGGCTTTTTCTTTTAGAGTTCATCAACAACATGAAAAGGAGAATGAGAGATGCCATGAAGGAGGATACTGGAAAGGTCATCCTTGTGGATGAGACTTATCAGTTGGGATGTGGAAGAGAGCCAAAAAGGCTCTAGAAGTCATCATGAACAGGGCCCTAGTACGTAAGTACATGTAGCATCATTATGATAAAACTTAATACCTCGTCAATACAAGAGGTTATGTTTTCCAGTAGTGTGCTATGGATATTTGTTTGTCAGTCTGTTTGAATATAAACAGTACAAAGAAGCTTTAGATAAAATATAATGATGTTTGGTGTGTGAGGATAGCTCCTCAAAATCTGGAACTATGAAAAACTGCATGACGAAGTGAAAATCGATTCAAATTTACAATCTTATATACTCATCCTTCTCAACGTTTTCCCAGCCAAGACGTCGTCATCTATCATAATCATGGCTGGGTATCTGCAGCAAATAGAAGATAAAATCTTCAGCCTAAACGAGGGTTTCCGTGGCCGGTTCCCTGGCACCGTCCACTTTCTGCCCTTGACAGTGTAGGTAACTTATTTTATTCATCCTTTAATTTGATTTACTAGTTTTTTTGAGACAGTCTTTCTTTTTACTTTTTTC